GTCAACTCACTGCTTTCTTAAGTGAGTTAGATAGTGAATATTCGGGTTTGTCCTACTATACCGAGGTACGTTGGTTATCTTGCTCCAAGATTCTCAAACAATTCTGAGATTTGAAAGAAGAAATATGTCAGTTTTTATAAACGAAAAATCAAGACGTAAGTTTGTTTTACGATCCAATATGGATACAAGATTTATCTTTCTTGGTTGATATAACCAAACACTTAACCGATTTAAATTTATCATTACAAGGAAAAGATCATATCATTACGAACATGTTTGACATAATTAAAGCATTCAAATGTCAACTAGTTCTTTGGGAAAAACAACTTAAAAATAAAGATTTGACGCACTTCCCGACGTGCAGCATGAACAAATAAAGTTTAGATGATACTTGTTCGTATCAAAAATACGCAGAAAAAATTGCAAATTTAACAACTGAATTTGAAACGAGGTTTAATGATTTTAGTTCCCTCGAAGACAATTTTTTTTCTTCGATTTTCTCAATAAGTATTGACTCAGTACCCAGCCATATGCAAATGGAGGTGATCGAGATTCAATGCAACTCAAATTTGAAAGCAAAATTCATTGAAGTGGGCGTGCCTAAATTTTACAAATATTTACCAGCCAGGTTTGAAAATACTCGAAAATTCGCATATGAAATTATTTCCATGTTTGGTAGCACTTATCGGTGCTAGCAGTTATTTTCAGTCATGAAAGGTAATAAGTCTCCTATTAGAAACCGTATTAATGATGCTCACCTTGGGTCAGCGTTGAAAGTTATCACTGCAAACAAAATTTCTCCCGAACTAGGAAAGATAATAGCAGAGAAGAGATGTCAAGTATCAGGACGTAACATTAAATTTTTCTTGTTCTTTTCTATATATATATATATATGTTTATTATTGTATTATTCGAAATGAATCTACGTTTCTATAATATTTTTTTTTTTTTTTTTTTTTTTTTTTTTTTTTTGTTTTTTTTTTTTTTTTTTTTTTTTTTTTTGTTTTTTTTTTTTTTTTTTTTTTTTTTTTTTTTTTTTTTTTTTTTTTTTTTTTTTTTTTTTTATTTTTTTTTTTTTTTTTTTTTTTTTTTTTTTTTTTGTTTTTTTTTTTTTTTTTTTTTTTTTTTTTTTTTTTTTTTTTTTTTTTTTTTTTTTTGTTTATGCCCGCCTAAAGTTAAACCTTGTTTGTTTGGCCCAAGTTTACCTATGAGTTTGACATCCCTGCCTTAAACACTTATTTCCTCGAAAAAATTCGAGAATAAATTAAGCATGATTTAATTGGCAATAATAAATGAATGCGTTATCTTTGTTGTTGCGAAGCTAAGTTTCTCTAGATTGGCAACAAATCCACTAGTCTCCTGTTTCAAATGTAAAAATCAATGGCCGCCATAAAAAAAGGTTTAGCGACACTTAAACAACTTTAAAATTGTTGATAATACTAAAAATATTGCATACAGATGTACTAAAGGCATAAAAACCTTAACCGGAAGATAAAAACCACATAATACAATCATTTTCAAAGCAAAAAATGTACAATTTACAAACGTATAAGAGTAAAGAAACTGAGATAACTGAGCCGGGTAACAAAGTGGATATATATATAAATATATTTATATACGTTTGGTGCGGCCGATTGCAACCAAAATACGAGGTGCACATCTACATGTTATAGCAGTCCTATATACAAAATTTCAACGTTCTGAGGCTACTGGTTTTTGAGTTATAGATGTACGAGATACGTACGTACATACGTTCGTACAGACGCCACGAAAAATTCTCTTCAGAATTAATTTTGAAGCAGTTTTATAACTTTTTTGAAGGAAAAGAGTATTTTATTCTGTCCTTACGTACAGATATCACACAAAAACATGTTCAGTTGCATTCGATAGCGGTCAAAATGGATATTTTCGTTGAAATATGCTGCCTTACAATACTTTCTTTTTACGATTACATATTGTACAATTACAATACTTCCTTTTTACTTCGTACAAGGAAGTAAAAATAAACGTTTCAATAAGTAGATTAAATGACACATCGCTGAATATTACGAAAAAATTTCAGTTCATCTACCGAGTGAAAGTAATAATTCACACTGGGAAATTATTAATTGTACTTAACATAACTAATTTTACACTTTCCAAAAGAATAAATGTTTCGAATTTTAAAATTACAAGAAAATCAAACTTACTGACCCATTATTTTTCATTCCTCAAAAGGTCGATATTTTGTTGGGTGCTGAATTATTCTTTTCAGTTTTGTGAGATGATAAAATAAAATTGGGAGGCAATTTGTTCTTGCAATCAATCTGTTTTAGTTACCATGCTTGGGGGAGTATTTCAGGCAATAATTTGTGCGTCTTAATGGATGTCGAGATATGATCCCAGCTTTACCTAGTCCTATGCGAATCGTATTCCTCGATTCCTCGGGATCTTGCGAGCTGGCAAATAGCGTTAAATCGATGACAGCGTAACTCTTTGAATATGGGAGATTTTCTAACTGAGCGATCATCTCTCGCATTGGTGGCCCGGAGACGTCCTGAGCCACTACGTGGGCTGGCTATGCCTCGCTGAGCCACTGGTTCCAACAACGGGTAGCGATCATATCGCTTGAACAGATATGCCGGCCGATCTGCCGGTTCGACCAAACGCCCTCTTTTAGCCCGCAGATGGAATGTCCATACGATGGCTGATCTCTGTTGAAGCATCAAGCGAGAATGTCCTCAGACTAAACACTCCAAAAAAGCCATAAGCGAAACTTTTTACCTTAATACGTATGTTTACCTTTTCGTAAACACAAGTTTACTATTTGTATGAACAAATTTTAACTTATTATAGATACCTTTGTATGAATAAAACTATTCTTTGTAAACAGTATATTTGGTAAGTTTTCCCTTTATTTGCATATTTTGTATGACTTTTGAGACAAAGACAGTGCATTTTGTAGCTTAAAAAGTTGACCTTATAGAAAAAAAACTGAGATTCGTTTTGGATTCAGAGTCCAAACGTTGGTCAAAAACAAGTGAGAGTTTTAAAACAACAAATTAACACTTTGTCCTCGTAATCCTAAACTTAATTCATTTAACTTTCCAAAAATATCAGCTAAGTATGCTAAACATGCCAACCATATTTCACTATATAAACAAGTTTGTAATTTAAATTTTGAATCTCAAATGAAAATTTGACTTTCCGATCGAAGCTCAAAAAGACGATTTAAAAACTTTACTTCTGGATAACACTTTACTTCGGAAAATAACAAAAGCATTTCATGTTCACTGCCAATCTCTTGGCATAAAATCGTAAATACTCTTGAATTTAAAGCTTGGCTTTCAATAAAATTAACAATGCTTACAGCTTGATTCAAAAGATTTTCAGGCTTTCGGGTATTGTTAGATCACGGCATCAATGTAAAATAACGGTACCCAAAATGTTAAATCGAACGCGTCATGGTACCCAAAATTTTTAAATAACTGCAATAGTAGTGTGGTATCATTGAAAAAAATTAGGGTACATAAAATCCATTGTTACTTAAGATAAGTGCTATTACAAATGTTTCAAATACAATAATGAAATCTACCATATAATCCTAATTAAAGCGAATATGTGAAGTCATTGTTTTGTGTTTAAATCTTCTGGGTTCGCGCCGGTTGAATGGCCATGCATTCAATTATGGAAAAAATACTTAAACGTTAAGGTAAAAACATATAGCGGCTAACATCGAAGATATTCAATAAATAAACCATTCAAAGGCATGATGATAGATAAAAAAATCATCACTTGACAGACTCAAATCTACTATTAATTTTCTGATTTATTTTCTAACGTTAAATCGTGATTAATAATTCAGTTTTATATGGGAAGCATAACATTAAAAAATCTTAAAGATATAAGGGTATTGATTTAAAAATTATAATTTTCAGAGCATAATTAATTCCATTTAATCATAACAATATAGCAATGAATTTCCAAAACATAACTTCTCGAGGGATAGGAAAAAAATTCTTTCGAACAGGATTTCTCAATCCTCAGCCATACCGGCGAAAAAAGGCATAGTCATTTGTCTTACTAGCATACATTCATATTTCTCAATAGTCTATAATTTAGAATGTTAAATTCAATATCAAGACAGCTTCTCAAATTTCTATCTGTTCAACAAAAATTTAATCCGTTAGGCGGACTCATCAACGAAAAGAAAAACAAGACAAGAAAAATATCAATACGGGAAAACTTATCTAGGTCGTAACCACTCGAAGTCGGGAGCTTGCAGCAGGATAACTTATCAGGACTAATTGATCGTCTATAATCTGCTTAGGGAACATCTAATGTCCTGAATGGGAACAGGGAACTTACTCAGGCTATGTTCGGGTATGTGTGGAATGGACAACACAAGCAGGAAGGGTTAACTTTACCCTTTATTCTATTCTCCACGATATTACAGGGGCTCCCGCACTTCGGGATACAAAGACCAACCATTTGTAGTCTGAACGTAAGAATATAAGAACTACTAGCTAACTAAATTTAAATAAGAACTAAACTCGAGTACTTTACACAGATGATTGACACCAAGACTGGCCTTTCAAATTAGATTATTACGTATGTAGTATGCAAACTGCTGAAAACTACAATACGTCTTAGGTATCAAGAGGACAAAACGTTAAAAAACGCCCCTTTGTACGTAATTTAAAATCTGAAAAGCTTTCAGATTTTTTTTTCCAATTTTCTTTACTATTTTATTAAATTAGATGCACAATTCTAAAGTAATACAATAATCTATTTAGTAAATATAACTTTCTTTTGCTCATCATAAATAATAAAATCTCGTATTGGTTAACTGTAAAGTCGAAACTTAAAATAGATTCTCAAAATCAGTAGAACCTTCGAACAATGAAGTGTTTACAAATATTTCCTTGTAATCTTGTCTTATCTATTTGTTCTATCTTATAGACGATTTACAGGAAAACTGTAATCTACGCCATTCGTCTACCCCTTTCTTTATCAGCTCAAGGCATTTTTGTTTTCATATGATTCTTGTGCCGATTTATACGAGGTAAGTTCATCTTTTTCTTAAAAGGTTTAAACATTTTAAGTCTTACAATTTAAAACTTGAATTCTCAAATAAACTTTATGTAATATCTTTATATAATATCCTAATGTAATCCTGGAATATTTTATCATAGTAAATAGCGTATTTAAAGTAGAGTTTTGGGTTACTGAAAAATAAGTGTGGTCTTAAAATCTGAGTTCGGTGTCAATATGTACAATAGTATCCCAGAGTTTCACAAACTCGGCATCGCGCATAACCTCGGCATTGCGAACCACATTGGCTTTGCCTATGTGCACATCGATCTGTTTTCACTTAAAAAACATCCCAGAGTTGCACATACTCGGCATCGCGCACAACCTCAGCATTGCGCAGCACATTGGCTTTGCCCATGTGCACATCGATCTATTTTCACTTTAAAAAAAATCCAAGAATTGCACAAACTCGACATCTATCTATTTTTACTTAAAAAAAATCAGACATTGAATAAATTCTCCATTGCTTATATACTCAGATCAGAAATCTGCTTTCACTTAAAGAACTCAGAGAATTACTTCAGTCCTCTCCTTTTGTAGAACATATGGCTGTGATCTCACTGAGAAATATATGCATCAATTGGCTGGCGTCGGATTTCTTGTGTTTCCTTCTCCAAATGTATTCTGCAAGATAGGAATCAAACTGTCCTCTTGCCTTACTAGAGCCACGGAAACTTCTTTTGATTGCTGCCCAAGTTCCCTCAATACTATTGGTATGCGCACCTGTTTCTTGGATCATTCTTTCAGGTGCGCATACCCTTCGAACTCGAGACAGTCGTACGCTTTCCAACAATCAATCCTGGTAGAACATTCTCTTTAATGATTCTAGCAATGTTTCGTCACCTCTGTTTTCAACAACTCTAAAGACGCATTTATCTGTCCCCTCTCTTAACCAAACCAAAAACCCATCTTCCTTCGACTCTTTTCCCTCTATGATACTTTTGCTTGCCAAACTTGCTTTCGTCGATTTCGACAATCACGCCTTCCCCACCCAAAATCACATTCTCCTTCTCCATGCATACTCCCCTACAAAAACTTTTCCAATCTGTCACCGTATTTTTAGCAATACGTAATTCCGTTCGTATAAAATCATTCCCGCACTTACTCAACCACATGTAGGTAACTCGCAAAACATCACACATGCTCAATTTACTCTTCGCAAACCAGGAGTTCTTTCGAACAGACCTTGAAATTCGATGCTTACATTCGCCTCCAATAACTCTACACATCCACTCAAAACCGTATATACGGTTTTTTCGCTGTACTAGTTTCATATCTGTTTCACAAATTGGGCACTTATACGATATTGCAATCAAACTTTTCTCCATACACCACTCAATAACGCTTTTTTTTTACCTCTTCGCTCCAACTTATAAAAAAAATCCAGATTCAGATACTCATCCATTCTGTAGTAAGCACCGAATTATAGACACATCAATAATCAAAACATTCCTTAAGCAAAAGAATTCTTTTCTGTACTTTCAGAAGTTACGGTTATAATTTTTTAACTCATGCATTCAATATTTTCATTCGTTTGGTATCTTAATAAAACATTTGTGAGAGATAATTCGTTGCGTTAAATGCTAACACTACCACACAACACACAAAAGTAGATTTATAATTAAAAAAATCTCGCGCAGAACATTATAAAACTAACATTTCAACTCAGTTAAAATATAATTTGAGTTTTCTTTAAATACGAAGCTATAGCATACTTATAACTTGTTTTTAAGAAGAGGCGTAACCAATATTACGTCCAAGCGTAAGAGAAGTAAACACAACATCGACTGATGCAGCCTATTCTGCGATTTAGCCTTATTATTCTTATGTTTATGCATATGTAAATTTGTATTATTAAATATTTTCATCATATTTTGAATTTAGGTTTAGAATTCAATTGAAAATTTTCTAATGCGAAGTGGGGGAAAGCAGATGCAAAGAGCCGTCGAGCTGGTGATTGTCTGGAATAAACAGGTTAGTGACATTTTATGTAAGGTTAAGTGTGAGTAATGGCATCCCGAATCCATGATAACAGACATAAGAGAATAGAGGTAAAATTACATAGTTATTATATAAGCATGGTTACAAAAACAGAAATAAGTAAAAGCAGAATCACATTTAACAGTCATTAAAGCATGAGCACAAAAAATAATGGCAGACAAAACAGATATTGGTGACAGAATTACATGATCCAGGGGTTGAGGATGGCCAAAGGACGGTTAATATTAGCAAGATCATTGGGTTTTTAGATGGCAATTTTAATAGCAGAGTTGTTAATGGTGTTCTGCATAGCATGAAATTTCTTGGCAATTTTATAGTAATAGGATCTAAGCTGACAGATCCGTAGCTCTTTGTGAATGCGTTGGTTTCTAATGTACCATTGTGCATTTGTGATTTGTCTCAGTGCGCTATTTTGAGCAGTTTGCAATTTTTTTCTACCGTTACTATGCCCATACAGGGCAAGCATAACAAAGTAAAGATGGTCGCAAGATGGACTTATAAATGAGCAACTTGTTATCTACAGACAAAATGCTGTTTCGAGCAATTAAGAGATATGACAAGAATGGCTAGTCCAGATTTTTATCTTTCTTTCCCTACAAAACACCTATAAAGGGATAAGCGTCTACTCAACGCTGACGAAATAGGTAATGACCCTCAATAGCGCCGGAAATCTCTTCTTGATGTTTTACGATAAAGATCTTATCGATGAAGATCTTTACGATAAAGATCTCTTTTAAGGAAACAAGAAATTTCTTGCCAATTAGAAAGTGAATGTTTATAGAAAAGGATTTAAAACTTTTGTTTTAGTACAGTTTAAGGAATTAAAAAAATAGAATAAGTTTTTGTAAAATAAGCCTTTAATTTATGCTTATGAAATTATTAATGAATTAAAAGCAGAAAAATAATTTTTTCATATAGTTAATGGTAAAAAGAAATTAAATAAATCTTTTCACAAAATTCATCTACAAATTTCTATCACGAATAATAAAAACGTTGGGCACCATTGATAAATTTTAAAAGCTTGTAGAGCTATTTGGTTATTTGGAAGCAGAAATCATGAAAAATGAGCAACGCCTTCGCCGGGAATGGAACCGCGGACCTCTGGAACGCTCCCAACGTGCAGACCATTTCACCACGAAGGCACTTGTAGAGCTACTAGGTTATTAGGATGCAGGAATAATCAAAAGTTAGGAACGCCTTCGCCGGGAATCGAACCGCGGACCTCTTGATACGGGCTCAGCTTGCAGACCACTACACCACGAACGCACGTTAAGAAGGCTGAAGAAATACCTTATAAGCTTACACTTTTGATCATGAAATTCATCTATTTGATTACGTTTTCCTTATAACTGATGTATTCCCGTTAAACTATAAGATAAATTATTATTAGTAGTAGTAGTAGCAGTTTCTTTTGGTTCGTTCAGAATTTTATGAGTATTGAATAAAAGTTTATTTTATAAAAACAATTTTTTAAATGTTTTTCAGTTTTCATCTCAGTATTCAAGATATGTTTTCAATCAAATTATTTAATTGAAAAGTTTTTTTTTTCCTACAACGAATAATCAATCTTTTACAAAATCAGTCTTTTACAAAAAATCCTTTCAACACTAAATTAAAAACAAATCTAAACAGAATTTTATAAAATTCGTTTTACCCTATTGTACCGCAATCAGTGTGTATGCAAAATCTTGAACTCAACAGCTTATCAGGAAGTAGTTAAAAAACTTTGACAGCGTTCTGATCACAGCGACAAATTTCGTAAGTAAACTAAATATGTGCTACTTCTAAACAGAAATATTGGTCGGTCTGAGACAGATTTTTAAACGAATTTTCCTATAGTTTTAATTAATTTGTAAAAATTACTTTTTTAAAATATTTTTTTTTTTTGCCCCTCTCCCTCCTCTCAATAATCTTATCAGCATTTTGATGAAGAAAAGATTATGAAAACGAAAATTTCAGTAATTATACATCGGACTGATAAATGCTGTACAAATAAACTCATATTTTAGCAGAATTTTTTACCTCTTGAAGTAAAGGGATTTTAGTTAGATTAATCTCGAAATCCGTAAAGTGTTATGCAATTTAAGTTTGTCTTATGTCCTAGTTTTCAGTTGTTCATCAGCGTAGTTAAACGCTTTGCGCTTAATATGTTAACTGCTTGAAAATATTCGTAATCGCATGCAATTGGATATTGCATATTTTTAACTTAGGATTTTTTAACAAGATCGAATCATAATCGTAGTCAATACAGACGAATTTTTAATAGAGGTATAGGGGTATAGAAAGGTATTGTAGGTATAGGGGTGTCAGAAACCCCTATACAATGTTAAATTGACCATGTTCGATGTACCTTTTCTCAAAATCTGCTGTACGCTTGAAATTTTTTCTGTAATTAAAGTATACCTATCTGATTGTACTAAAATGTGCTTTTGAAAAGTTTTGAATTTTAGAATAATTTACAGAATATTTTGTTAAGAATAGTAAAATTTAGCACTTTTCTCACACACACATAAAAAAAATTAATTTTTTTTCTTAGTTTATCATAAAAACCTCATTACAGTAAATATTAGGAAACCTAATAAATAAGCTATACAAATTTTAGATACCTATGAGCAGTAGTTCCTGAGAAAAGGTACATCGAGTATAAAAAAATCACGTTTGGAGAAAAGCGCGTTTTTATGTAAAAATCCTCATTTATCAAAGCATTCGATGACAAATTAAAATTAGATTTTTCACAGTTCTAATATTCATAGAGATTGAAGAATGGTATTTTTTAGAAAGATTTGAAAGAGAATTTGAAAATGCAAAAAATCCGAAATCACCATTTTTTGAAGATTTTTGGGTTCCAACACCCCTTAAAGTTTTCTCAGAAATCGTCTGTCTTCACTGTATATAATAAGTGTATGAGGGTTCGGGTTAATTGAGTATAACAAAGCGTACGAGGGCTATTGGCTAAGGGTGACCTTTGTGGTGGACTTTCTAAGGGAAACTGGGTTATGTTCATGTTACACAAGCAGAAAATTACGGAAACTAACCGTGCAATAAACCTATTCGTCTGCCTGATAGAACTACTAGTATTCAAAGATCGTAACCACTTATCCACTGGTGAGTCCAGTGTTAAAGATAAAGATAACAAATAAATGACAGCTAAATTTAGGTTTCTTAAAAAAATAATTTCTTTACAAAAAGTGTTAAATGTATTAATATTTATTATTTATTATAATTTAAAATTTTAAAGAAGTTTCGTATTATTTTAAGTTCGTACTAACCGCATGCCGATTACTAATCTCTAAGCTTACTGATGCGTCCATATATTAAAACGCAATTCCCTATGTGTAACATAAATGTGAGCTTTTTTCTTTTTCTTAGAAATTCCCTCACGAAACTATCTATCTTTAGGGACATAGACCTCGCGTGCTACGAGATAACTCAAAGCATGAATTTACAGGTTTTTATACATTAATAACTTGAAAATAATTCAGACCACTATATTATTCGTGAGAGTAAAATACTAGATTAGATTCAGAGCATTGTTCGGTATTGCTCAGAGCAGAACTCAAGAGCGCAAATAATAGAATAATATGAACCTTAACTCACATGCTCAGGGAATTAATTAGCTGCACCTCTACGATTTCAAATAATCTAAATTCAAGACAATTTTATAAAATTTAATTAGCGTACTGTAGACATGATGAATGATGAGTTTAGTGAAAAGTGTTCAAGTACGGCTTGAAAGCAAATAAATGTAACTTTAAACTTGTTCGAATATTGCTATTATTCCACAGACTGCATAGTGCATTTTCATTCTTAAAGATAGCTGTTTGGAACTGATAACTGAATTCATATGCAAATTGATACTAACTAATGAATCATAAGTAAATTTCAATAGGTTCATATTATTATTCTTGTTTATATACTGTAAGGATTATATTAATTTACCAAACAGTTAAATTTTTAGTTACTGTCCTATCTTTTTTCAATTTCAAGCTTACAACTTCCGGCCAGAACGTATTTATTAGAATCGCATTTGAATGCAAATGAGGAGATGTATTTAACTGTGAAGTTCTACTGACTTCGGGAGAGAGAACAAGTAATTCTGGCTAGCGCGCGTCCACCTTTTTAGGCTACTCTCTCTTAAGCTATTACTACGCTCGGCCATACTTTATGCCCTTGATAGCTTCGCCGTTATTCAGCTTTAAGGGGCCAACTCTGTTAGAATTTTGATAGCTTCGGCTATATCTTTTTAGTTAAGATTAGTTAAATTAATTTCTTAGTTTTTGAGTTCAAGCCCGAGTGGAGGATTTATTGCAAAACTCCAAGGAGGAGTTCAGTGAAATTAATTTGGAATAATAAAGTGTCTGTAACCCTTCTCAAGTTTCATTTACTGCCTGACAAACTAAAGCGATTATTCGCTTACCAGTTCTTAAGGTTCTGCAACTTTAACTTAAAAGTACACAGGTTAGGAGGTCTACACAGGTCTGGGAGACGCCATTGTTATATATTATTATGGAACAGAGATTAAAAATAATAATTATATATTTATAACTCAGTTTATGAAGCGGAAGCTATGGCAATTTTTTATTCACTGAAATGGATTAAAAAGAGTCTTAAAGGGAAATATGATATGCATATTTATTCTGACTGTCTGACAGTTCTTCAAGCTCCCTCACGACATGATCAAGACAACCTTTTAATAGTAGATATTAGAGAATTATATAAAGGCTTGAGAGAAGATCAAAATATTGTGTTTAATTGGGTGAAGGCACACGTTAGACATTTTGGAAATGAGAGGGCGGACGCACTGTCCAAGGAGGCAATTACCGATGTTAATGCTCGTGATATTAATGTACAGCAGTGGTTCTTAACCGGGGGTGCCCGCAGCCCAGGAGGTGCGGGAATGTATTTTGGGGGGTGCGGGAGAAGCCCCTACATAGCCATAAAAATTATTAAATATCATTTATTAAATTTCTTAT